AAAAGGCGATTGCCAAGGAAAGCGATTCTTGCTTGGCAATTATAAGATAACTAATTACTAATTCTTTTGACAATAGTGTTTTCGTTAGCAAAGCAAACTGATTGTCACATCTTCTGGCATCATTAATCACTGGCATCGTCTATCTCTCGAATTTATTTCTACTCCAGTCCTCACTAGTAGTTTAATAAGGCAATAAATTTAGTTAAGAGATGTATATTGATGGAAACATTCTTCTTTTGAAAAAATCAGGAGTCTTAAAGACACTTTGGCAGGTATCGTAAGTGCTCATTTTGGTTCACTAAGAGCGAGTTAATTAATCAAACCATAAGAGCTTTCAAATGTTCATGAGAGCCATTATAATTTTGTGGGTGATGAGACCAAGCTCTAAAAACTAATATTTCGGAATGCTTGCCACTCGACACAGTTTTCAAACTGCATTCACGCTGACAAGTTCCCTTTAAGGATTACGGGTTTCCCAGCCGCGCAAGCATTCCTTTAGTATCTCCTCGACAGATATTCCTCGTGTACCGATTTTGAAAATAAGGGCTTTTCAAGGAAGAACATACCCAAGGAGTAAATTTGGTCTGGATTTGAGAAAAGTCGAGCAAATCGTAAATGTATCTTCTATGTCTGCAAGTTTTTCTCGAAAAGTGTTAGAATATTTATCTGCTAAAATGAGAAGGGAACAGTTTTTTTCTTAATAAGCTTTCTCTTCATAGAAACTTGTTGGGAAATGCGACTTTGCCTCGAAGGTGTATTCTCAATTCTCCTTATTGTCATAGCATCCATTCCTTTGAAACGTTATGCCGATGAAGTGTTTTGACACCTGGTTGCTAGGCGAGAAAATAACTTAAAAAATCTGGGCGGGTATTTCTCAAGTCATTCAAAGACTAATTTGCTTTGTGTTCAACTTTAGACGTCATTCGAAAGACATGAAAACAATATAGTTGGTTATGAGTTAATCATGATCGAGAACGTTGTTTCGACTATTAACAAGAGAAAAGCGTGGAGTAATGAATAAAAAAAGATATTACTAAAAAAGAAATAAATGTGAACACTGATCAACTGCCAGCATGCACCATTTTAAAGTAATTCCTTTCAATGGCAATGAAAAATCAATCTCTGCGCAAATCCAAGCATCGACCAAATCCAAATATTGTTATGTAGCTAGGAACAAATTACCTACCTTTGATGTGATAAACCGCAGATAATATTTGTTAGTGGACGTCTTTAAACAAAGTGTAAAAGTTCAAATCTGGGTTAATCTCAGTATTACTCCATTTGAATAAAAAAAAGCCAAACAATTGAGGTTTGACAGTAAAAGAAAAGTCTGACGCCCAACAGTAAAAATTTAGATGCGATGTTGTAAATTTTGTTACGGATCATTTCTTCTCACCTCCGCTGCTACCTCAATATGTCTGTTCACGCACGATTTCAGCCAAGATTTAATGCTTTGTGTGAGAATCTATTCGCCATTGGATATTTACAGCCGTCAATTGTGTGCCCACTTGCAAAAGAAGTACTCATCCGCACGGATCGCTGTTTGCTTCACACGTCATCTGGAAAATATCTTAAACATCACTCACAGTGCATTCTCCAAGATTATGGTACCGTTGTTCAATTGACGTCATGCTCGTTCGCTAGGTTGCAGGTTTTTGTAAGGTTATGAACGACCAGCCCTATTAAAAACGTTTAATAAAAAAAAAAATCTGATATCAACGAAAAATGATTGAAATTCAATTCACGCGACTGAAAACTTGAAAGGACTACTTTCCAATTCCTTTTTTATTCCAATTTTATTTATTTACAATTATTTTAGTTACATCGATTTCACTTTGGCCTCTACGCACTTTTCTGAAATTTAATGTCACATTTAAGGTCATTTTTCCATGTCATATTTTAAGGCCACTTTTTTTTCAGTTCTGATTTTGTATTTAGTTAATTCAGATTAGAAAAATACAAAATCACGATGAACTGAAAAAAAAAAGAAGGAAAAATTACATTAAATATGAGAACAGTGTGCAGTGGCGAAGAGGGCAAAAGCTTTAGAGTTTGCCATTCACAACCACGGTAAAACGTATTGAGGATTATAGAATGCAATAAATTAATTAAAATTAACATAGCAATAGTATGAATATATTGTAATAAGAAAATAAAATGATGTAAATATCTTTGATACCCAATTTCTAACCGCAGATGAGAAACTGCCCACATTCTTTTTATTAATTGACGGATGGATATGAAGTAACTTCAAGCACCTAGCTAGTCATTGATCAAACGAATCAATGGCAAGTAAATATATTTCGATGACGAGTTCCTTTTAATTTTGGCTCTCATCTGGTTAAACGATAGCAGTGAAGCGGCCAAAAAATTTAGCAGGTAGCCGTTTAAAATTTGACCCTAAAAATTTTTTCTGGTGACAACAGCATTAGCTAAGACCGTTCTTTGGGTGAATCTAGTTAGCGTAACTTGACTTAATTTTGTTCTTATTAGACTAACTTTGAACAGTTTTTGTAGAAAGTAAGTGCTAGCCCGTTGATGACGCCATTGGGACACATTCCATGTCACGTGATCCAGAACAAAAAGGGCACGGTTCTTAGAAAGAAGACGTTTGGAAATATATTTTCAGTCTCTTTTTAATCCGCAGTATTATGAAGAGAATTTCAAGCATATGTTTTACATAAGCATCGATAGAGCGCTGGACTGTTGTGCGGGAGGTCGAGGGTTCAAACCCCGGCCGGACCAACAC